CCAAAGCCTTGCTACCAAAGGCTGTCACCAAAGCTTTGCTTACAAAGGCTGTCACCAAAGCCTTGCTACCAGGCCTTGCTACCAAGCTTGCCATCCATCGAGCTGTTACCCAAGGCCCATCCATCATCTGCCACCCAAGGCTGCCATTAGCTGCCGTTAGCTGCCATGAGCTGCCATGAGCTGTCAAAGGCTGCTACCCATCCATCCTTAGCCCAAGGCCAATAGCTCCGCATTTCTCTAACCCCTGCACCCTCCTTTGACGACTTGACCCTCGAGCTCCTCCCCAACGTGGACCAGCCTCCGCTCTTGGCCAAGCAGCCGCACCCCAGTCCTGTTGAAGCCCCTCCTCCTTGGAATGAATCAGTGCCTCATCCTCTCCCCTTAGATTCCCCTTGGATTCCCCTTTGAGTTCCCCTTTGGATTTCCCCTCGCACTGAATCGTGCCTCGTCCTCTCCCCTCGCACTGAATCGTGCCTCATCCTCTCCCCTCGCACCGAATCAGTCGTGCCTCGTCGTCGTCGCCGACTCTTACCTACTCGTGCTGATTTCCCCAAAACAGGACATCGCCAGATACGGCGAGGCGCCCGTTCGAGAAATCCTGTCCGGCCCCGACCGCGAACGCTACATCAACAGCGAGGACCCCAACAGCGCGCAGGGCCCCCCAAAGACATCCTCCTCCAACCGCTCTGGCCATTCCACCACCAAGACGGCCTCGCATCACCACCGACACAACCGAAGCATCGACGATGGCCGCGCCTTGAGGCCAATGGCCAGCAGGGAAGATTCGCAGGCCAGCTTGCACGTGCAGAACGTGCGGGAACGAGGCGCATCCGCCGCCACCGTCTTCTACGGCGCCAGCGCCTCGTCGCGCGCCCACAGCCCGACCCCGAGCGGCATGAGCAACACGGGCTACTTCAACCCTAGGGCGGGATCGACCCCCGACGGCCAGACGTCGCCGAACCATAACAGCAGCAGCAACAACAACCATCCCAGCAGCACAAAAAAGGGCATACTCGGTCGCTTTCGCCGGCACAAGGACAAGGACAAGGAGGACGCCACGGCGCGCCTGCGCTCGACGCCGACAAACGACTCGTCGCGCTCTCTCGTCTCCAAGTCCTCGCGTGCCGATGTCGCCAGAGGCGGCGACCAGCAGGCTGCGGCTACCTTCCCGCCCAACTGGCCACCTCCGGCCGACCAGTTTGGCGCACCCCAAGATGGCCGGCCGCCGCAGCCGCGCGCGGCGACCTTCAACAACAAGTTCCCCTTTGCCAAAAAGGGCCGTGTCATGCGCGGCGTCGAGGAAGACATGATCGGGCCCACCGATCGCCGAGAGGGCGGCCGCTCCGGCACCGTCTTCCATCTCGACACGAACCTGAACGACATGGAAGGCATTCTGACGAAACCTCCACCCCTGACCCCCATGGACCACACCTTTATCACCAACATTGTCGATCCCGAACGTGTCGAGAACCCAGCCACCGGCACCGCCTCGGCCCACGACCTCGTCAAACCCCCCACGTCCGACGCCGCCGCGACCGCGACCGCAACCGCGACCGCCCCCGTCACGATCGCAGCCGCCAACGCCACGGCGGCGAACCCCTCGACGGCGCCCAACGCCAACGGCTCGTGGAACGCGCCCGACAGCTGGGCTGTCCGTCGCAACACGGAGGACAATACAGACCAGCAGCCCGACGTCGACGACATTGGCAGCCCGCCGCGCGCCGACGAGAAGATGGCGCCCTACTGCATCCGCATCTTCAAGACGGACAATACCTTTTCGACCCTGTCCATGCCCCTGGACGCCGCCGTCGCCGACGTCATATCGCAGATTATCAAAAAGTCGAATCACC